TAAAACGGAATACCCTCCTTAGCCCACAGCCCCAGGCAAGCGCTATCATGAACTCAAGTTCAAATCCATGCATCCAGGAGTGACCTGGAGACCTGCAGACCCCGCCAGGGAGACGTATGCGAATGCATCTTGTGTTTGAGCACCGTGCAGCCTCATGGTCAACAACACGGATTCTCGGCTGACCCTCAGTTGCTCTTGAGCCTTGGGCAAGCTACTCAAACACACCATGCCTCAGTTTCCCTGTCTGTAAAATGGAGCAGGGGTCTTTTCAGTTCCTATGAAGCGTAATGACAGTTCCTATCTCGAGGGGCTATCGTGAAGATTGCATCCTTTTTTTTTTTTTTTTAAGCTTATTTTTATTTATTTTAAGTAATCTCTACACCCAATGTGGGGCTTGAACTCATGACCCCAAGGTCAAGAGTCAACATGCTCTACTGAGTCAGCCAGGTGTCCCAATCACTCCACCTATCTTAATTTGGGGTCCCTAAGAAGCAGGTTCTAAGAACAGAATTCAAGAGCATGGACTGTTTAGGTGGTCATTCCGAGAAGCCCTGGTCGAGGAAGAGACAGAGGTCAAGGTGAGGAGAGAGAAGGAGCCCTTCGGTGGGGGGTACCAACCAGGGGGTTCCCAGGGGCTGGTTTCCCAGGGGGCCCTCAGGGACACAGCCCAGAGCGTGCCTCAGCGATGTCCTAAGTGAGGTAGGAGGAATCTGAGGCATTTATAATCAACGCTCCTCCCTCTGTGGCGGAGGGCTATTCCCAGGGGAGCCCTGTGGCCCAGCAGCTTGGCCTCCCGCAGCCTCCCACAGCCAGACCAAACTTGGCTCTCGCAGGCGGAACGTGCTTGCTGACCGCAGCTGCCTCAGCGATATATTTTTGTTTGCCCCCCCACCACCACCCACCTCACCCCCCCTTACAACAGCATTCACTGACTTCTAAAATTTCACCGTAACCAACATGGACACGTGACTTCAGACTCGGTCTTTCTACTCATTCAAAATCAAGCTATACCTTCCGATTCAATCTTTGTCCATTCGATGGACCATCATTGACCCCCCCCCTCCCCCGTGGGACACTCAGCCAAGTGTCCCCGGTGCCGGTGCCGTAGGCAGGCTCGTGTTCACACCTGCTTCTCAGCCCTTCACAGCCACCCTCTAGGGTGGTTTTCGCTGTCCTTGTTTTACCCGAGAGGAAGCCGAGGCATAGACAGATTAAGGTACTGGCCTTGGGTCACACAGCGGTGAAGTGGCCAAGGAGACCTCAGTCATCGCTTGCTGGATTAACGCCTGGTCCGCGGCCGCCCACATCTACCCACAGTCCGGGCTTGCCCCTAAGTCAGCTTTGCTGCCCCAGTGCAGCCTCTGCTTGTCACACCTGCCTCTCTGGTCCTGACCTGCTGGCTCCAGAGCCCCTCAGACACCTCAAGATCCAGGCCTCCAGATGGCCTCTGCTGCTGGGTTGGGCTGCCTGGCACCCTGCCCTCCACCCTCCCCCAGATGAGACTGGATCTTCAGAGCAGCCAGACCTGGAAGGAAAGAGGGGGGGGGGGAAGTCTGGTGTTCAAAGGCTGCACTTTGAATACATGGAGATTGGAAATGGTAGGACAGGGGTTAGGGCAAGAGATCTGGGGGCCTGAACCCCAGGGGTGGAGAGAGGGGCAGATTCTGGATAAGTGTGAGAACCCAGGAGCAGGATGGGAGGTGGATAATGGGAGAGAGCAAACCCTTGATCCCACTTCAGCTCCCAGTCTCGGAAATATTGGGGGCAGGGCCCAGGCCGAGGCCTTACCCAGCATAGGTGGGTACATGGGGGTCAGAGGATGTCGGGCAAATATGGCTAAGTTGTGGGGGCCACACATTGGTGGCCCTGGGTCTGGGTTTACCCCCCAGGGAACTCTGTATATCTATCTTTGTCTTTAGTGGAGGGTCCTTTGAATTTTTCTGACTATTGTTGGGGGTGTCTGAAGGCCTCTAAAGGTCTCTGGGCATCCCTGGGGTCTTGGGGATGTCTGAGTTTCTCTGAGTATCTCTGGAAGTTTCTGTGGGTCTCTAGGTGTCCTTGAGTGTCTCTGGAATCTCTCTGTCTTGGGCTATCTGTGAGAGCCTATAGGTATTTCTGGGGTCTTGGGGATTCTGAGTTGTTTTAGGTATCTCTGGGGGTTTCTGAAGGTCTCTAGGTATCTCTAAGGATCTCTGAAAGTCTCTGTGCTGAGACTGGCCCCGCGTGGGACTCAGACCTGTTTCAGACTCAGTCTCGGGACATGTCAGCCTGGAAAGAGAGGGAGTGTGGAGATGTACCCTCTGGAAGCTTCTGGTCCCCCTCAGGCCGTGGAGCCAGAGCTGCCCTGCTCCCCATAGCCTGGCCATGACCTTCTGGGGCTGCAGCAAGCAGGTCCAGACCCCAAGTCCCCCAGGCCCCAGACCTGTCAGACCCCTGCCATGCTCCAGAACCCAGGACCTCCCCAAATGCCGGGAACCTCCAGACTCCTAAGCCCCAGGACCTAGGCCTCCCAAACTCCAGACCCCTCTAAATGTTCCAGACTCCAGGACCCCCAGGTCCCCCTGACCCACCTCCAGAACCCACTATCCCAGGCCCCACGCCTGACCCTCCCCCCCCAACACCCCCAGCCCTTGTGTCTGGTACTTCCTCATTTTCTCATTTCCTCCTATTCTAAGAGGACTTAGCCCTTAACTCTGTGGATTCCTCCCAGGGTGTGGGGCATAGGGGACATCCAGCCCCACCCAGGCCCGAAGCTGGCTGGTGCCCCTCTGTCCCTCTTATCCCCAAAGCCAGCGTGTCTTACATGTGTTTGCTGGCCGATTTCTGTGTTTTGCATGAAAAACCTACGTGGTGAATTTCTCCCTCCCATCTGCCCGCTGCTTCGAGGTAACCACGGGTATTTGTTTTCCGTGTTTCATCCACGGTTTCTCTGGAAGAACGAAACGAAATCTAGAAGTTTACTTTTTTGGCTTTTTTCAGTTAATGTTTTCTCTTGGAGACATCTGCTCTCACCTAGGTCTGCTCCCACCCCCTCCACCCCTCCCCAGACCTTTGCCACAGTCTGTTCCATCCCCTGGATGCCCTTCTCCCACCTCCTTACTCAATAAGTCCCCCTCATCCTTCTCCCTAAGGCCTCGGCACACAGTAGGAGCTTAACAAAGGTTTGTGGGAAAAATAAATGAGTCTTTGCTTCTCAGTTCATAGAGACCCGTCATTTTGTTTCTATGACTCTGTGGCACCCCCCCTCCAGGATGGATAAATCATTATTCATCTACCCAATCCCTTAGATTGGTTCCTTTCCCCCCCCCCCCCCCATATAACAACATTGAGATGAATCATCCTTAACCGTGTCATCTCTTGGCCCTCCCTCTTTGTTAAAATTGTTCAAAACACACAACATAAAATTGACCATTTTCACCATCTTAGAGTGAACGATTGCGTGAGTTTTTTGTACATTTACAAAGTGTTTTGTGAGCACCACCTACCTCTGGCTCCAGAACATTTCCATTGCCCCAAATGGAAACCCCCCCCCCCCCCCCACTTCGCCACCCCACCCTCACCCCAGCCCCCTGGCGACCACCAATCTGCTTTCTGTCCCTAGGGATTTGCCTGGTCCGGACGTCTCGTATCAATGGAGTCATAGGCTCTGTGGGCTTTTGTGACTGGCTTCTTTCACTCACCCTCTTGTTTTCAAGGTTCATCCATGACCAAGGGAGCGTCAGCGCTTCACCACTTTTTGTGACTGAGTAACATTCCGCTGTCTGGAGGCACCACGTTTCGTTTATCCACTCCTCAGGTAGTTCATGCCACTGCCGCCCTTGTCACTCTGTCCACATGAAATATTCAGGACAGTCCCAGCAGCGGATGCTGGGGCAGCAGGCACGAGTGTTTGGAACCCCCGTGGCCTCTGCCGGTCAGTGTGCCTTCCACTGGGACAGCGCCACATGTGATCCCGAAGCGTGGCATGGGCTTCCCTGTTTTCCCATAGCCCGGCCAGCGCAGAACATCGGCACACTTCTGAATCTTTGCCAGTCTCATAGGGGAAAACAAATGACGCCTCAGAGTTGTGATGTGCAATTTTTCTGTTAGGAAAAAGTACCTTTGGGTGCGTTGGAACGACAATTTCCAGCTCTTTCTAAAAGTCTCGGCTCAAAACCTTTGGCCATCCCTCTGAGTCTGAAGAGGGGAAGGGGCAGAGTTTGAGGAGAGGAGGAAGCATGGGGGGGTGGGGTTCAGCTTCTCACCGTCAAGAAGGCTCTCAGAATTTATCCCACTTTACAGATGTGGAAACTGAGGCACAGGGGGGTTAAGATTGCACAGTGAGTCAGGGTCTGGAAGGGAGTTGAACTGGGTCTGCCTGACGCGAGGACCCCAGGGAGGCGGAAACCCCCTCCTAGCCCACCCTCCTTCATCTACTCTTGTCAGTACGCTTTGGGTCTGACTCAGGTACCTGTCTCCTTCTGGAACGCTGGTCTCCTGCCCAGGTTCCCCACCTCCAGACAGCAGGCTCGCTCACTCTGGAGGAATCTTTGGACACAGCACTCCTCCACTGCTCACACATCTTCCTTGGCTCCCCACGGCCCTGGGAATAACGCCCCACTCCTCGGCCTGGCTTCTGAGGCCGGCACTGCCCACCGCCTGCCCACACCACCACTTCCTCCTCTTAGCCTGTCCATCTAGCTACTCCACTCCTAAATGCACAGTCCCAGCCCACCATGCTTTCTCAAGCTGCAGGGCCTCCACGCCTGTTGTGACTTCTGCCTGGAATCTGCTGTGCATTTATTTCTGCCAGCTACTGTGACTCACCCCCAAGTCCTGAAATCAACGTCTCCTCTCCCAGGGAGTCCTCCTCGCAGCCCCCTCCACGGTGGAGGCATCACTGTACAGGAGCAGGAGCTCTGAGTCTGTCGGGGAGGCTAGCAGCTGGGAGAGTCAAAGGCAGGTTTTAGGAATTCTTGGCAAAACTCTACTCACGTGTTGAAGCCCCAATTCTAATGCTCCCTCCTCTAGGAACCCTTACCGGACTCTGTCCCTCCCTCTGACCCTGACCCGACTCCACTGGACTGGGTGTGTCTGTGGCTAGCTCTGTTCTCTCCAAAGACTGGGTTGCTCCACCAGAACCTGGCCATAGCCGAGGCCTTTTGGAAGTCCAGCATGGGTGATTGTTGAATGAATATGTGAATGCGTGGCTTGGGCGGCAACCGAGTTGAGACCAGGAAGCGAGTTGATGAGATAGCAGTCATTCGGGGTGTTAATGGGGGACATGTAGTCACTGGGTTCCAGCAAGAGAGAAGCAGGTCGCCCCTCCCCCTCCCGTGAGAATCCTGGGCCTGAGGTCTTGCAGGGGGGGGGGGGGGGGGGCGTGTCTCTGTGTCTTCATTCTTCCCCTCAGCCTTGCACCCGGACACCAGTTCCTCTTCCTCTGAGTCTCTGGGTGCGGATCCTGAGGAGCGCCCGGGACCAGAGTGAATCCGCTGAGGGTGCTGACCGCTTGGGCCCTCTCGTGCAGGTCAGCCACCACGCAGCCGTCCCGCGCCAGAGCCTTCCAGCACCGCCGAGGCAAAAGCGTGGCGGTGGGACCACAAAGGTAGGACGGAGGCGCTAGAACTGGGGTCCGAGAAGGGGCCTCAAACCAAATTGTAGGGGGCTCCCTTCAGCAGCCCCACCCCAGGTCAGCCCAAGACTCCCAACACTTCGCAGTTCCGGAAGAAACAATTAGTTGGGCCAGGGGCGGGCCGTTTCCGGGGCAACCGCCTATTTTGCATATGGTCCCGTCTTGGCCAATGAGGGCGCCCGAAATATTCGGGGTGGGGAGGGGAGGGGAAGGGAAACTTAACCCGAAGGGGCTCCACGGGGAGAAGGAGAGGGGATGACTGGGTCGGGTCTCCTCCTCGCCTTCCAAGACCTTTGGGCCCTGGAATTACGTACGCCCCGCTTCCCAGAGGGGGCGACTGGGGCCAGACAGAGGCTAGAGCCGACCAGAGGGGAGGCACACTAGAGGCTGCGTTTAATCATTTCCGAAGGAGCCTGAGTCACTCTGAAATAAGAATAACATTAATATTAACACTGACATTAATATTAATACACAGGCAGTGAGGGTGAAGTGTCCACAGGCTAAGGTCGGGGCTTGGATTCTGGTGTCTCTGCCTAGGTTGCTTGGATGGGGGGCGCCCTGGTGTGGATGCCGTTGTTGCCTCTGCTGCTGCTGCAGGATCCCGGCAGCCAAGGATTGTCATGCAACGTGTCCTCGTCGGACGTGGACTGGACCACAGAGTTCACAGCCACATGCCTGAATTTCAGCGGCCGAGGCCTGAGCCTGCCCCGGAACCAGTCTCTGCAGGCCAGGAACGTGGTCCTTCTTGACCTGTCTGGGAATGGTCTTCAAGAGCTACCACTGCGCTTCTTTGCCCTCCTGGGAAAGCTGGAGGTCCTAGATGTGACAAACAACCCGCTGGACCGAGTGGACAGGGCACTGGCCATGCGCTGTAAACTTGACCTGAAGGCTGACTGCAGCTGTGTCCTAGAATCCTGGCACCAGGTCAGACAGGACAACTGCTCTGGCCAGCTGCCTCTGTTGTGCCTGGACACAGCTACTGGTGCCTGGCACAATATCTCTACCTTCCTGGAGGTTGGCTGCCCCCCTGGCCTGTCCGTGATGACCATTGGGGCACTGGTGGCTGGTTGTAGCCTGCTCCTTGGGCTCACCATTGCTGGCCTAGTGCTGGCCTGGAGACTTCGGGGACGCTGGATGGTCAGCAGCCACGACCTGGACAAAACATGGGCTGCTCAGGATGGTTCCAGGTCTGGCTTGGGCAAGCAGCCGAGGTATAGTAGCCGAGGCCTCAGCCCTAAGCCCCCAGAGGCTGTCCTGCCCAGACCCTCCACACCCGACTATGAGAATGTGTTCGTGGGCCAGCCAGCTACCAGGCACCAGTGGGCCGAACAGGGGTGAGTGACACATCTGCCTGCAACACTCTGGAGGCAGACGGCCGGGATTCAAATGCCCGCACCGCCTCTTGTAGGCTGTGTGATCTTGGGCAAGTAGTTTCACCTCAGGGCCTCAGTTTTGTCATCTGTAAAATGGGGATAATGACAGCCCCCACCTCATGGAGTTGGGATAAGAATTGAGTTCCTGTTTCTGGACACGTTTCCCCCTTCGTGACCTGCAAGCCCAGTTTCTGGCTATCAAGGATGGGGAGAGGGGAAGCGCGTGCTGAGGCAGAGTAGGGGCTCTGCAGTAGCAGTCAGTGGCCTGGGCTCAGTTCCTGTGTGACCCAAGGGCTGTCTCTGAACCTCTGTTTCAGTCTCTGTAAAATGGGGACAGCTCCTCTTTCCCCATCTGCCTTTGGCACATGAGATGCTAAGAAAGCTGTGTCCCTCTCCCCCCCCACAAAGCCCTGTCACCTTCAGATTTGGCTGGACTTAGATGGGTTCAACTTTTCCAGGTTGGCTGAGGGAATGAGGGAATTCCGGGCGGCAGCACCAGCAGGGGCAAAGACCTGGAGGTGGATGAGAATAGAGAATCTTCCGTGAATCGGTTTTGCGAAAAGCAAGACATCAGAGCGGAGGCTGGAGGGGGCTGGGAGAACCCCAGCAGGAGTGGAACAGGATCATGGATGGGTTTGGGCAAGGGAATCCACAAAGTGGGGAGGCTGCTGGGAAGCTGCTGGTGAGAAATGAGAGAACATGCAAAGCAGATGCAAATTTGGCTCAAAAGCAGAAGTGGTCTGTGGTGGGGAGCTGAAAGGCACTAGACTCCATTAGGCAGCTCATGTTCTGATGCTCGCCTCTGCCTCACTGTCAGCAAAAGCTCAGGGCCAGTCTCCGCCAAAAACATTGTGATGCGATCCAAATGATATTGGATGTGTCATTCCGACCCTACGTTTTAGTTGTACAGGCGGAGGCTCTGGGAGACAGGGGGATGACTTGCCCAAGGTCACACAGTGTGTCCAAAGCAGGGGCAGGAAACAAATCCTGGCTCTGAGTCCTGTCTCTCCCACATAAGCATTTATGTATTTTGAGGGAGTCATTCTTTTTTTTTTTTAACCTTATTTATTTGTTTTGAAAGAGAGAGAGCAAGCAGGGTAGAGGCAGAGAGAGAGAGAGAAAGAGAGGAGAGAGAGAATGCCAAGCAGGCTCAACCCTGACAGCCCAGAGTCCAGTGCAGGGCTTGAACCCACAAACCATGAGATCATGATCTGAGCCGAAACTGAGAGTTGGATGCTTAACTGACTGAGCCACCCCGGCGCCCCTGGAGTGATTCATTGTAAAGCATGAATGACTGATAGACACAACTTGCCCCAAATAGCCTTTGTTACAAGAGGTAACAAGGAAGTATCCCCCAGGGGCATCTGGGTGGCTCAGTTAGTTGAGCTTCAGACTTCGCCTCAGGTCATGATCTCATGGTTTATGAGTTCGAGTCCCGCATCGAGCTCTGTGCTGACAGCTGGGAGCCTGGAGCCTGCTTCGGATTCTATGTCTCCCTCTCTCTCTCTGCCCTTCCCCCGCCTGTGTGCATGCACACACACTCTCTCTCCCTCTCTCAAAAATAAATAAACGTTAAAAAAAAAAAAGAGGTGCCCCCCCCCCCAACCTGGGGTAGGGTTCCAGAAGCATGTTCCAGAGGCAGGAAAGTTCTTCTCTGCGGGTCTTGCCTACCATAGCTAGACATTGCCAAGAAACTGCCTCCTCCTCTATGGATCTGGGACTCCGAGATTTATTTCTGTACCGAGGCCACAAAGTCAGTTGCTTCAGGAAACCTAGTGAAAACATTTCCCATTTGAAGGGGCACTGGTTTGGCTTTAGCCACTTGTGTCCGTGTGGCTGGTGCAGCTGGAACTTCTGACTTTTCAAGAGGAAACTGAAGTCTAGATTTAATGTAAAAAATGAGCAATGATCTCAACTTTAAGGGGGAAGACGATTTGACCATGGGCTCGAGGTCCTTGTGCCACAGCATTACAATGCTAAATCCACGGAATCTTCCCTGAATCTCTGGCCCCCCCACCTCCTTTACTCAGAGAAACTTGAGAGGCTGGGAGAACACTGCCCTGTGCCTCAGTTTCTTCACATGTAAATACTGGGCGGGGGGGGGGGGGGGGGAACTCAGCTGCCCAGAACTTTCTTCGCCTCTCAAAGCTGACGTGCCTGCACCCTGAGTCCTCCCTCCCCTCACATCTGTTTGTCTCCACAGGGCCCACCCATCAGAGGATAGCGACTTCTACATGAATTATGAGGGCCTCGACCGTGCCTCCCAGCCTGTCTACTGCAATCTGCGGTCATTGGACCGAGCCCCACTGGACGAAGAGGAGTATGTGATCCCCGGGCACTGAGTCTTTGGTGCCCTGAACTCACACCTGCTGCCTTCCAGCTGACTGGGAGCATTCTGGCTCTTCCCTGGCCTCCGTTTTCCCACCTGAGGAATGGGGACAGAGAAGGACCGTCCCTAAAGCCCCAGGGAGGCTCTGTATCTCCCTCTCCAGCCCCCCGCTCTGCTTCTCACCTCCCGCAGCTGCTGGAAGGGGAAGAGGAGAGGCCCTGGTATGGGGACAGGAGGGTCAATTTGTGAATGCCATTGTCACCCTCCTGGGAGAGTACTAGACGTGCTCAATAAATACTGCAGGGCTGACAAGGCTGCTGGCTCAGGGTGAGTGGGTTCCTTGAGGTGGGGATTTCCTTAAGCTACCCAAACCAGATCTCTGAGACTCCTGAATTGTTCCCCACCCTTGGTCTCTCCTCTCTGTCCCTCTTAGGCTGCCTTCCCGGGTACCTGATACCCAGGCTTAGCCCCCAGGGCAGCCCACACCAGCCCCAGAGGGATCATTATAACTTATGAATGGTACTGTGTTCCTCCCCTGCTCACATACCCTCCATGGATTCCCCAGGGCCCCCAGGACCTCAGCCTGGGGGTTGAGGCCTGCGTGATCCTGCCCTGCCCAGCTCACTGTCCTGTCCCATTCCTGTGTCCTTCTGGTATAAGCCTCCTCACCACCAACTCCACCTTGCTCCTGAAGTTGTCATTTGCCCATGCCATTCCTTTCGCCCAGGATGCCATCCCCTTTCGCTTTGTCGCACTGTTAAATATCTTAATACAGATGCAGAACTCTGGTCTCTGGGTGTCAGGGGGCACGGGTCCAAGTCCTGACTCTGCCATTAACAGGACCTCAGTTCCCCCATCTGTACAAGGCAATTAGAGTTAGTGTCTCTGCAGCTGTTTTAGCTTGAATATGCCGAGGTATCTTAACTCACCCTTCAAGGTCAGGCTCAATGCCACTTCCTCTAAGAAGGCTTCCTTGGTTTCTTGTCAGGAACCGAGTCTCAGTGTCTTTTAAGAGTTTGTTCAAATTCTCATGCCTCAGCTGGGTGTCCTGTCAGCTGCTTCCAGCCTGGCTCCTGCCAACCCTCCAATCTAGGGGAGACAGCTGGACACAGGCACTCTCAGTCCTGAGAGGTCAAGCCTGGCCTGGAGGGAGGGATGGGGTCAAGGGCTCCAGAGGGAGATGAACAAAGGAGCTGAGAAAAGGCTGCATATAAGAAGGGAATCCGGAGTGGGTTTTGAAGAATGCGTTAAGTGTTTGAGAAGTGGAGAGGACACGCATACTGGGTAGGGGGACCAGCCTGACAAGCAGCAGCCTAGAGGGATAAAAAGGCCCATGGGCAACACAATGTTCAGCAAAGGCAACAGCTGTTATTTGGGGAGAGGCTCAATACGGCATCTGCTAGCTTTGGGTGACCTTGGTATTAATTTTGAGGCTCCCGTGGGTTCCCCAACACTTGGGAATGATCTGGGGCGGGAGAGGGAAACTATGAGGGTCTTTACTACCTTAATTCCCTGCATGCCCACCCTAGACACTGTTCAAGTGGCCACTCCTGTCCCCAGTCATCTTTCTTGCCTCTGGCATGAACCAGATCCCAGCCCTCCCCAGCTCCTATGTCTAATTCATGGCTCTTCAACTAGACCCACACCCTCACCATCACCCATGAGATTTGGTGGCTTCTGCCCCCCACCCCCACCTCTCTGGCCCCATCTTCAACAGTTTTGCTGTTGAACACTGAGCTTGTTTCCACCCCAGGGCCTTTGCACCTGCTCTTATGCCACAAATGCTTATCCTCCGACTCTCCCGGGTCCTGTTCTTCCAGGTCTCAGTTCATATATCATTTCCTCAGGGAGGCCCCCCACCCCCTCCGCCGACCATCTAAATCACCTCTGACTCCATTCATTAATAGATGGCCTGGATTGACTTCTCAGCACAATTCTTACCACCATCCACTACTTTCTCATTATTTTTCTTTGCACTCACCTATCTTCCTCCCTCGACTGAGCTCAAATGGGATGCTTTTTTGCCTGTCTTGGTATTTCTGTGTCCTCAGTGCCCAATCAAGGCCTGACACAAAGTGGGCATTCACTGAATACATTCAGGGGCACCTACAGTCACTCAGGTCTGCCTCTGGGTGGCAGCATTCACAGGGGACACACCTCACTCACTGCTGGAAGTAGGCACTCTCTTCCCCAGGCCCCCGTAACATTTCCTATCAGAGATTCTCAGGATGGACAGGCAGTTGGGTGTGGGACGGGCCTGGGTTTGGCACATCTTGGGGATTCCAAGATCCTAAGTAGGAAGACTCATAAGATTGGAGATGCAGTGTGCATGAAAATGTTCCTCACAATGCATTTATTTCCCCATTTTTTGTTTTTAACTAGCTGCTTGGAGTAGATTTTCCACTTGGTGCAAGGCACACAATAACAGAGCGTCAGAAAGGCATGCCTGTGGCTTGGATAGTAGAGGGTGGGATTCTCTCAACTTCCTATTTTTAGTGTTTTGCTGTTTTGTGTTTTTTTTTTTTTTTTAATTTTTTTTTTAACGTTTATTTATTTTTTTGGGACAGAGAGAGACAGAGCATGAACGGGGGAGGGGCAGAGAGAGAGGGAGACACAGAATCGGAAACAGGCTCCAGGCTCTGAGCCAGCAGCCCAGAGCCCGACGCGGGGCTCGAACTCACGGACCGCGAGATCGTGACCTGGCTGAAGTCGGACGCTTAACCGACTGTGCCACCCAGGCGCCCCAGTGTTTTGCTGTTTTGATAGAAAAGAAACCAACTGGTCTGCCTGCTGCAGCCTGCCTAGTCTACGGGGAGGGGAGGGATGGGCTCTGATGAGCCTACCGCCTCCTGAAGGCTGGTGCCTGGTGGTGCCCACTCAGGACTGGGGCCAGGCTTTAGCCTTGTCGGGCTGGCCACCAAGCTGCTTCCTCATATAGCTTCCAGAGCCAAGTCACAGGTGATCCTGCCACTGGAGGCCTGGAGAGATTCTGAGGGTTCCGGGGACTCCAACACTGTGGCCGCGGATGGGAGAGTGGACTTCCCCAAAAAGCAGCTTGCCCATCAGTGACCCGGGTTAGTCTTGGGGAACTGGGGTGGTGAGGGATGGCTTCCCCAGGATACTCTGCCCTTCCGCAGGAGGTGTTACTGGAAGTGGAACCCAGGCGGTGCCAGTGATAGTCGAGGGTGGCCACGAGCAAGACGCTGCAGGGGATGGCTGCCATGCTGTTGTTTGTGGGCTGGTGGAAACCAAGTGCAGGCAGAGGCCTGGGACTCCCGGCCGCCTCTGCCATGCAGGGTGCGGTCCTCCCCACCCCCCCCTGGGGGCCCCGCCCCGCCCCCGGCCGAGCTCTCTTTATCGGAAAGATTAGAGGTACCGTTAACATAGAGTGATGCGCCACAAAGAGAAGTGATGGGACTCTTCGAGGTCAGGGGCGACATCACACACAATATGCCTGATTGCAGACGGATGGCTGCCTGTGTTTGGAAAGGGGACTCCAATGCAAGCAGAGCCAGCAGGACAGTGATAGAGAGAGGACCGTATCACCACAGAAGCAGGAATACTGAGAGGTGAGATATGGAGGGAGAGGGACACCCACAAGGGTCTCAGAAACAGAGGAACGAGAGACAGAGAAGCACAGAGACAGAGAGAAGGGTGTCTTTGAGGGGCACTGGCGTCATGAGCACCATCCAATTGCTTGGCATCCCAGAACGCCCCACCACCCGTTCCCTGAGCAGTTCCACTCACCCTAATACCAGGTCCCCTGTGAGAACTGAGCTCAGGGAGCGGAAGGTTCTTCCCAGGGTCACCAGCTCCATCCTGGACAACCATCGGGGCTCGGGTCAGACAACTTCATTTTTATTACCACGGTTTTAAATAAATGCACACCGTCAGACCAGCCCCTCCAGTCCCCAGGCAGATCACCCCAATAAGTTAATAATAAATACAAACATAAATACAGCGGTCTCCGCCGGACGGGGCAGATAGCAGTGGTGGGAAATCGGGTATCTCAGGACCCACAAGCCCCTTCGACAGGCAAGGACCTCTGAGGTCACTTCCACTGCGCACGAGCCGTAAGCGAAAGACTAGGACCGCTCATAGGCAGTGGCAGTCCTTGGCCACGAGGTCGTCGAAGGGCGTAAGCGACACCCGACCGTCGCTGTCTTGGTGCATGAGCACCACCGGCTCGTAGCGGGCGGGCACGCAGCACGGCGCCGGCGTCGCGTCGGGGTTGAGGCCGTGCAGGCGCGCCTGCATCTGCGCGTGCGTGTTGGCCGACCGGAACTGGCTTGGGCACGCGCCGATACACATGCGCACGTCCAGCTCGCGAGGCGCCACCACCCAGTTGGCCCATCCCAAGTCCTCGAGCGACGCGCGCAAGCTTCGCAGGCGGCAGCAGCGCCCCGCCCCCAGGGGGCAGTTGTCCTTGGAGCGCGCATGCGCGTTGCGGCGCCCTCTGGCCGCGCGTGGCCGCCAGTGCAGCTCAAGCTGGGGACGTGCAGAAGGCAAGGCCGCCGGCAAGCGGTCCCTCTGGGGCAACAGTCGCAGGTGGAGGGTGGGCGCCCCGGAACCTCCAAGGCTGAGCTGACGCCGCAGCGGCCGCGTCACGTCCCACGAGCTCAGCTCCGTCGGGGACAGCCTGAGCAGCGCGCGATGCAGGCGGAAGGATGCGGGGAGCCCCTTCGTCAGGTCAGCCCGGGCGATGCGCAGGTGCAGGTGGCCGCCCAGCGCAAGTCGCACTGAGGGAGAGAAGAGAGCCAGTCAGTCAGTGACGGGCCTATGTGCACCAGGCGCAAGTGCCCATTTCCAACCCCCACACCAACCTGGATCCTACCTCAGGGCCTTTGCACTAGCTGCTTCCCCTTCCCGGCACACTAGTCCCCTGAATCTCAGCATGGCAGGCTACATGTTCCTCCAGCCTGCCTGACAGGCACTGCCCTATTTTCTTTCATTGTGTATCATTTCATCTCCCCTACTAGAATCTTAGTAGGAGTTTCAGTCTCCCCGGTCACCACCATGCCTGGTACACAGTGGGTGCTTGGTAAGTACTGGCAGGAATTCATGTGGATCTGATTTTGAGAGGCACTAAGAGCCAAACAGTGGCTCTGCCTCCTCTGGAAGTCAAAAACGTTTTATTGAAGGGCTACTAGGTGCCTGGGGCTGGGACTACAACAACCAGCTGCTGTGTTTTCAACTCTCTGGATCTTGGTTTCCATGTCTGAGAAATGAAGGGTGCCTGGCTCCCCAGGATCCTCAGGTCCCCAGGCTGGTACAGGTGTTGGGGATAGGGAGCAGACTGGGGTTTGAGGGCCCTGGACTCAGTCACCAGGCTCACAGAGAGCAAGAGGCATACCCGGAGTCTCACAGCGCACGTAGGGTTAGGGTGGGATAATAGCGCCCCCTTCTGGTTTGACGCTCTTTCCCTAACCCCTTCCAGTTAGCGCAGCCCAGATCTCCTTCCGCCCTCTGTACCCCCTAGAGCCTCCGTGGAGGGGGCAGAAAATACCCCCCCCCCCCCCAAGGCACCTGCTACGTGAGACTCGAGCAGTGGCTTGTCAAGGGATTGCATCAGACTGCGAACCAGTACGGGCGGATTCGGCCTATCCCTGGGCTGCGCTCCTCTCGTCCCTGCCCCTGAATCCCTTCTCCTAGATTGCGTGCCCTCCCCCACCCCTAAACCCAAGGACGGGGAGCCCACCCCCCACCCCGCGCCCGATTTTGTTTCTGGAAATTCCAGGCTCTGTGAGTTTTCAAGAGACTCGCTGGGCCTCAGTTTCCCCATCTGCGATCTTTAACATCTCACTTTGGCCACACCCCGCCTAGTCTTGGCATAAACCCGGCCACCACCTCCCCTCCCCCGCCCCACCCCCCGAAGCCCTAGGGGGGATGTTCTTGTCCGGTTCACAGATAAGGAAACTGAGGCTCAGTGGCAGGTCTGGGTCCCTGTGTCTCAGAACCACTGGTTAGATGATGGTAGCTGCACAGGGGGCGCCGGTCTCCTAGATTTCACTCACGCTTTGGAGTGAGTATCCGGACTTGAGCTTCAGAGATGACTCGGTCAGGGTTTGAATCTTCCCAGCTTTGGTTCAACCGCAACCTGGTCTGCAGGTGTTCGTAGAGTTTCCGAAACTCCTCGAATCTGGAGACATCCGTACCGGAGCGAGCTTCTGAGGGTCCCGGAAAGGCCGGGAGGTGCTCCTGGGCCAAAGACAGGGCACCTCCCGAAGGCAGCCAGCAGAGCATCAGCAGCATCAGCAGCATCAGCAGCATTGGTGGTGTGGGTCCAGGCCCAGGCATGCCTGTGCTAGCTGAGCTCTGAACTGAGACACCGGACGCTGCTGGACTGGCCTTTATAATCCCCGGACTTTGTCCGCCCCCGCCTGCCTGGTCCCTTCCGCTCTGGGTGCAGAGTAAACACTCCAGGGACCATACATGGCTGAGTCTTGGGCTGCTTTTAAGGGGGAGGCCCTTCTGGGGAGTTCTCCTGGGGAAGTGGGGGACGCCCTCCCCCCCAGAAGCCTCTCTGAGCCTCAGTATCCTCTATGAAATGGGGACTTCCTTCCAGCTTGGTGGACTGGTGAAAAGAATGCTTTTGTCAGAAAAAGACTTATTTCTATGTGCTCAATTCCCATAGCAAGCGCTTAAGAGGAGGCCTTCTCCCTCATGGGATTTTCTCTCTCCCTTCCTGGTTAGGGTCAAAGGCTCCAGATGTTGAAAACCAAAGGAAGCAGAGGAGAAAGGGCCAGAAGGAGCCAGAAGGAACAACCTTAGGCAAGTCATTCCCCTTCATCCCACTTCTGTTTCTTCATCCGGAAAACAAGAACTGAGACTTTCACTGGAGAGAAGTTCAAATGGGGCATAAACGACAGGGCCAGACCCACAGGAGGTTGTGTGATTGACTGAGTGTTTTTGCAGTCCCTGATCCTTAGGGGGAACTCCTGCTCGTGCTTCAAAACCCTACCCCAAAAGCTCCTCCTCCAGGAAGCCTTGCCTACCATTACCTTTCCAGGCTCAGCCGCATGCTCCCAACCCCCATCCTTTCCTCCAGCGCAGACCTGACCTCACAGCACTGGGAGTATCTGTGCTTGGCTCTGTCTGCCCCAGACTGGAGGCCCTTGGAAGACTTAGACAGAGATGAAGCTACTCTGGGGCCCCAGGCCCTTGGCTGGGCCCAGAGTGGAGGGGGCAGGGAATTGGAGTGCTGGGGTTTAGGGCTGGTATCAGGTCCAGCCACCAGATGGTAGAGGGCAAGGGGTAACCCAGGAGGACCCAGGCCTTCCCCTCAGACCTTTCTCCACTGCTGAGGACCCCTGGCCCCAGGCACTGGCCCCTGTGCCTGTTCCTTGGCCACAGAGAAGATGGGCAGCTGTGTGAGGCCGACCGCGGAGATGTGTGAAGTGTGACAGTGTGTGCAGCAAAGGTACAAGGGCTTGCTGGGGATCACAAAGCAAGTCCCTGCTGGGGGAGCAGGGCCAGGCTTCCCCCAACGCCCAGCATGCACCCACTGGGGAGACTGGGTTTCCCCTGAGTCTGTCTCAGCTTCTGTGCCTTGGGATTACTGCCCGGCTTTGGAAGGGGCCCAAAGTGTCCCGGGTGATGTCCCCAGCCAGCAGGAGGCGCTTAAACTTGCTCCTGCCACCGTCACTTCCAGCCTGATTGCAGCTGGGCAGGAGGTTGGACCCAGCCTCTTTCCATTCAGACCCATTTGCTTTCTAAGATTAAGGAAACCAGGGTCGGGGTGCCTGGGTGGCTCAGTTGGTTAAGTGTCTGACTCTTGATTTCAGCTCAGGTCATGGTCTCACAGTTTGTGAGTTCAAGCCCCACATCAGGCTTGGTGCTGATGGCAGGGAGCCTGCTTGGGATTCTCTCTCTTCCTCTCTCTCTCTCTCTCTCTGTCCCTCCCCTCCCCTTCAAAATAGATAAGTAAACTTAAAAAAAAAAAAAAAAAGAGGGGCTCAGTCGGTTGAGCGTCTGACTTCAGCTCAGGTCATGATCTCGTGTTCCGTGAGTTCGAGCCCCGCGTCGGGCTCTGTGCTGACAGCTCAGAGCCTGGAGCCTGCTTCGGATTCTGTGTCTCCCTCTCTCTCTGCCCCTCCCCCGCTCATGCTCTGTCTCTCTCTCTCTCTCTCTCTCTGTCAAAAATAAATAAACATTAAAAAAAAAAAAAAAGAAAAGAAAAGAAAAATAAATCCAGGGCCCCAGGGACAAGTAAGATAGAGTAATAGGGAGCCATCCTACCATGGGATTTTTGCACATGTCCCCACCGGCCAGGTAAGACTTCCCTGTGTCTTGTTACAATGCCTGGGTCCCCAGGGGCACAGAGGTTGGAGGCCTGGGAAGATTTCTTTGAAGACATCTCCACTCACCACCAAGCTCTCCTGGGAGGCCGTATGAGGCTCCACGGAAAATTAACAGCTCAACATTTCCAAGCGAACAATTGAATGACGTAGCATTTATGCCACCATCACCTCGGTTGGTTCCAGAACATTTCCATCACCACAAAAAGAGACCTCGTCCCCATGAGCAGTCGGTCGCTCCCCATGCCCCTCCCCCAGCCCCTGGCAACCACCGATCAGCTTTCTGTCTCCATGGATCTGCCTGTTCTGTACGGTTCATATTAAGTATATACTGCACCCAATGTCCAATGTGATGGGGCGGGGCGGGTAGGGTTCCACACGCCGACAATTCTCCAACACAGGTGGATGTCCTACGGGTCAACTTAATTCTGACACTACCTACCTGTGGGAGATCCCACAGATTAAGGGTTCAGTCCTCCACTTCAGATGCCCCTAGCAAGGTTGTTAATCGTGGTCCTTCTAGACTGGCTATAAATCACAGGCTCCCAAGACCCCCTCCTTGGGTTTGGCTCCTTCACTAGAGCAGCTCACAGAACTCAGGAAACCCATTTACTCACTAGATTACTGATTTACTACGGAGGATATAGAAGAATACGAATCAACAGCCAAATGGAGAGATGCACAGGGCGAATTAGGTGGGAAGGGGTGCCCTCTCCCTAAATCTCTATGTTGATCAACCCGGAAGCCCTCCAGGGAACCCTGCCCTTTGGGTTTTTATGGAGACTTCATGACGTAGGCATGGTTGATCAAATCATCGGCAGTTGGGGGCTGACTCAACAACTTCCAGCCCCTCTCCCCTCCCCTGAGGTCAGTGTGGATGGGACTGAAAGTTGAACTCTCTAATCACACGGTCAGGTGCCTTCTGAAAGGCACGCGTATAGCTCTTGAGGCACCTGGCTGGCTCAGTCAGTAGAGCATGTGACTCTGAATCTCAGGGTCATGAGTTCAAGCCCCACATTGGGCATGGAACGTTTAAAAAAAAAAAAAAAAGACACGTTTATAGCCCTCATCACAGGAATTCCAAGGGTCAAAGACCAAACACATATTTCTTATTATAAGTGACAATGTCACATATATAGGTGAAATCATACAACAGATGGTCTTTGGTGTTTGGCTTCTTTCTTCAGCATGCTGTTTTCCAGGTTTATCCATGGCGCGGTATGTGTCCTTCATTCCCTCTTATAGCTGAGTGATATTCTATGGTATGGATGGAGCACGTTTTGTTCATCTACTCACCCATTCATGGTCATTGGGATTGTTTTCACCTTTCGGCAGCTTTGAATAGGGCTGCTGTGAACAGCCCTACAAGGATATACAAGGATTCAAGGACCTGTTTTCTTTCCTTCTTTCTTTCTTTTCTTTCTTTCTTTTTTTGAGTTTATTTATTTATTTTGGGAGAGAGCACACAAGCCGGGGAGGGGCAGAAAGAGAAGGAGAGAGAGAGGATCCCAAACAGGCTCCTCACTGACCGTGCAGAACCCAACGTGGGGCTCGAACCCACAAACCGTGAGATCATGACCTGAGCTGAAACCAAGAGTTGGATGCTTAACTGACTGAGCCACCCAGGCACCCCTTGAGGACCTGTTTTCAGTTCTCGTGGGGCTATGCCCAGAAGTGGAACTGCTGGGTCACATCGTTATTCTGTGTGTTAACTTTTTGAGGAGTGCCCAGAATATTTTCCACAGCCTCGGCCGTTTTCTTTTTAAACTTTTATTGAGATACGACTAACACGAAGCAGAAAAGAAGTCATCTTAGTGTTCAGCTCAGTGACACTTCCCATACAGTAGGCCTGCGGGGCGACTTCCCAGATGAGGTTCCAGAACATTCCCAGCCCCAGGAACACCCTGGATGACCGCGATGCCCACTTCTGTTACGATGGCTGAGTTTGCCTGTTTTCCAACCTGATATAACGGAACCAGCAGTCTCTCTTCTGTCTGGCATCTTTCACCCAACATCACTTGTTCTTCATCTGTCAGAAGATAAAGACTTGTTCTTTATGTGGTTCACCCCTTTTCCTGGCTGCTTAGTAGCCCACTCCAGAAGGGAGTGGAGCTGCCGGCTTGTGAGTGGGCATCTTATCACTTTACAAGCAGAACCACTAATTAGTTTGTTTATTCCTGGAACTTCCCAAGGGGACATAGCACCACCGAGGGCCTGGGGGATGCCCAGGGGCAGCAAAGGGGAACATTAGCTCCATGGTGTTTCCGGTTCACCAAACTCTGGAATGAAGGCATCCAGGCCATTCTGGCTCCCCTTCAGAAAATCGTTAGCTGATGACCTCATGGCCAGCCCCGTGGCCAAGCTGGGAGGGGCGGTGGGGTGGGAGGTAGGCAGGCAGCCATCAATGAGCTCAGTGGGCCAGGGCCCTGCATTCCTCTCTGGCAGCTTCCATGGGTCCCCAGGGGCCAATCCAAGGTAGAAGTAAACAGCGTGAAGGCCAGGGGTCAGGCCGTTCCGCCAAACCTGGCTTGGCCCCAAACCTCCCAGAATTTTCCCTCGCCACCACCTACTTTTGGCCATGGCCGCCCTCATCAAACACACGCAACACACAAGAAAACACACACCCACTTTTATTATCTGTTTCTCATGACATGAAACAAACACAGTCACGGCAGGAGGTCCGGAAGAGGCCAAAAAAAAAAAAAAAAGTTATTTTAAAATTTCCTATGAGTTTGCAGGACAAGGAGAATTGCTATCCTATTACGTGAGCTTCCTTCCAGGCCAGTGGGTGCCTGTGTCATCTAGAGGGTCCTCCAGCCAGCCTGGGTTTAAATGCTGGCTCAGCCCTTGAGATGCCCAGCAGATTCTGAAGCATTGCTAATCTCTTCCAAACACTGCTTTCTCAGCACTACCCCCCTTAAAGGGTAGCACTGGGTAGATGGGCCTTAATCTGAGCTATAATCCCAATGTTTTAGATTTTTTTTTTTTAATTTTTTTTTTCAACGTTTATTTATTTTTGAGACAGAGAGAGACAGAGCATGAACGGGGGAGGGGCAGAGAGAGAGGGAGACACAGAATCGGAAACAGGCTCCAGGCTCCAAGCCATCAGCCCAGAGCCTGACGCGGGGCTCGAA